CATTATTCTTTCTATCTATCTATCTATCTATCTATCTATCTATCTATCTATCTATCTATCTATCTATCCATCCATCCATCCATCCATCCATCCATCCATCCATCTCCATCCATCTCCATCCATCCATCCATCCATCCATCCATCCATCCATCCATCCATCCATCCATCCATCCATCCATCTATCTATCTATCTGATCGATCGATGATAGATCAGATAGATAGATAGATAGATAGATAGATAGATAGATAGATAGATAGATACCGGTAGATAGAATAATGTGTGTGTTAAATAGATAGTGTAAATATTCCTATATATGTCCGTTTGTGAAACCAGAGGTAATAGATGCTGCTCAGTTCTCCGGCATTCTCGGAGAACAAAGTTCTCCTGTGAATGCAGTTTATGAAGCAGTTCTCCGAACGAAGGAGAACGGCTTCCAAACGCTGGATAACGGTCTACAAACTCTGAAAAACGGCTCATTTTACTATAATCTCTCCAGATTATAGTAAAAGACCAGTTTACTAAGCAGAGGTAAATTATCTCTGCTTAGTTTTCGGTCCCTCTGATTCTCCAGCTCTGGGCTGGAGAATCTGGACGGAGAACACAGATCTCCAGAGAAGGGCTGACAGGATCTCCTAAGTGTTATAAACTGTGAATGACCAGAGAATAGCTGAGATCTGTTGAATCGCAGCTATTCTCTGTGTCATAAAAGGACACCCATAGCTCATACAAATGTGTATAACATAACGTTATGTTTATATATACATGTATTCTCGTGACATATACTGCATTGATGTGTGATATTTATATATATAAAATATAGTTTAGTACATTTCACTGCGCAAATCGCTCCTCTGCTCCATAGTATACTGATGCAACAAAATAGATTTTCTTCTAACAGTACAGTGATCATTGGGAATCGTTCCATGTATACAGCATACTGGACAGTCAGGTACATTTCTGGTTACGGGGTTGCAGGCTGATTACACCGATGTCCTTTGCTGGTCACACACTCCCCATTTTTTTTAAGGTCACTCAGTATTCCATCACAAAAAAAGTATTGATTCTAAGTAACCAAAGGATCAAAACAGGGATGAAAATCGTTGAAAAAAATGTTTTTTTGTTTTTTTAATTAATAGCATTGAGGCATTTATATCCCATTTTTGTTGTCTGTTGCTTTGGGAAATGATTGCAATTAATAGCTGGTTAAAGTCACAACACAGCCCACAAATCGCCCAGTGATCGGCCAGCAATTGTCCCATGTCTGACATAGGCTGTTTGTGACTGTGACATGAATGCCGCTCATCCAATACATGCGAATCCATAGCTGATTACTTTTGTTGTCATTCATATTTAGAAACTACTGGACTAAACAGAACATTTATAGGACTCATTGCAGTCTTTTTTAAGTTGTAAAATGTAGACTCGTCCATTTAAAAAATAACCATCTACCTACCAGTCTATCTATTTGTGTAATTTTTACCTAAAGCCAGTCACATCATTTCTTAGATTGGATCTGATGGATATCTATGTATCTATTTATCGATCTATCAACATTTATTTATTAAATTGTTATCTAAGGCCATCCACGCACCAGGTATAAAATAATTCTCTTAGACTGGATCTGGTAGATGTCTGTCTGTCTATCTGCTGATCTATGTATTTATCTATTAGTTTTCTGAAGTCAACCATACATCAGGTATATTAGCCCTTTTAGATTGGATCAGCTAGATATATATCTATCGATCTATCAGCAGATCTATTTATCAAATTGTTATCTAAAGCCATCCACACACCAGGTGTACTTTTCTTAGAATGGATCTGATATCTATCTATCTATCTATCTATCTATCTATCTATCTATAATCTATCTATCTATCTATCTATTTATCTATCTATCTATCTATCTATCTATAATCTATCTATTTATCTATCTATCTATCTATCTATCTATCTATCTATCTATCATCTATCTATCTATCTATCTATCTATCTATCTATCTATCTATCTATCTATCTATCATCTATAATCTAGCTATAATCTAGCTATCTATCATCTATAATCTATCTATCATCTATAATCAATCAATCAATCAATCAATCAATCTATCTATCTATCTATCTATCTATCTATCTATCTATCTATCTATCTCGATCGATCTATAATCTATCTATATCTATCTATCTGCTGATCTATGTATTTATCTATTTGTCATCTAAAGCCATCCACACACCAGGGATATACTTTTCTTAGATTGGATCTGCTAGATCTATATCTGTCTATCTTCTATGATCGTTATATTTATTATGAATTTCTTTCATGTTTTAGCTGACCGGATCGAATCCATCATGAAGCTCCAGCTATGACAGCTCAGTTCTCATTTCTGTATATATAATATATTGTATATTGAATGTTCACATCACACATTAGAGGATCTGATCGGTGTCAGACTGTTATTAAAACCAAAACCCAATGGCAATCTCTGTACAGTAATATATGTAACGATGTTGTTAGTGGAGAAGTCGTTCCTGGCTGGCACAATGTGATCTACACCCCCTGGCAGACGGCAGATGATGGAAATATCTCGGCGGCTTTCCGATGGCTGTTCAGATCGGGGGCAGATCCTGGTTTCTTCCGATAATTTCTGCGCTGTGTCATGTCAGCGGAGAAACGATGGATGTGATCACTGGTTATAATGAAAAAGATCAATCACCTCCTGGGATGGGGGGGGGCTGGTAGAGGAATGCTGGCAGGGTACCTGAGGCTGGGAGAGCTGGGAGAGGGTGACACCTGTCCTGTGCAAGACATCTCACACCGGGGCGTTGTCATTACACAGACAGCCTCCCCACCCCCACACAGGACTGTACGATGGACTGCGGGCACCAGGGAGGACAATACTGGGTAGACCTGAGATCACAGCCAGAGGGGCTTATTTACCTAAGCAGAGACAGGAGCGAACCCATCGGACATCAATTACTAGGGGAGTGCCAGAAGGAGATCTGTACCTGTCCCTGACCCCGATCTCACAGCCATAGTGGCTGTTGTATTGAGGCAGAGTCAGGAGCACACTACCCCCCCCCCCCCCCCAGCTTGTTATGTCCATATAATATATATTTACTCTTTTGTTTACATTGTGAGCAGCAGACATCTATATGCCCCCCCCCCATATCACAGTCAGGGCTTTATTTAAAAGAAATTTCAGAAGAAGGGTCGCAGTACCAACCAGATTTTGCCCTTTGTAGATTTATTATAGTTTGTGCGATATAAAATTAGTGGTGATTGGATGCCCTGAAATATTGATCGTTACAATGCTAAATAATGCCAGTCACATCAGAAACTTGTTCTCTCCCCCTTTCCCTGCAATAAAATACAAAAGAAAACGAACCATTTCTCTTTCTTTTTCCATCTCTTTGGGGTAGATTTACTAAAACTGGTGCACACAAAATCTGGTGCACCGATCAGCTTCTAACTTCAGCTTGTTCGACAATAAAACCTGGAAGCTGATCGGTTATTGGGCACAGCAATGTTTTGTATGCACCTACCTGTATCTGTTCACAGTTCCATGATGGTATGGATCTAAATATGTACTCATAAGAACTTATATGTGTATTACTTTATTACACAAAAATAAAACTCTTCCCCACTCTCCCTCCAACTCCCTTTCCAACTCTTTCTTTCTTTCTTTCTTTCTTTCTTTCTTTCTTTTCTTTCTTTCTTTTTTCTTTCTTTCTTTCTTTTTCTTTCTTTCTTTTTCTTTCTTTCTTTCTTTCTTTCTTTTTCTTTCCTCCTTGCTTCCTTCCTTCCTTTGTAAAGGATATACTAGTGTATATTTGATTACCTAGATTTGTAAGCTCCTTGAGGGCAGGGACTGATGTGAATATAATACATATGTAAAGCACTGTGTAAATTGATGCTACTATATAAGTACCTGTAGTAGTAATAATGATGATAATAATAATAATAATAATAAACAAAATCTACACATTGATTACTCTATTCAACTTATATTCTGTCTAATGATCTATGTATTGGTCTACTATTAAAGTGGTACTAAAGCTTTAAAAAAAAAAAAAAGTTTTCCCCCTGCAAGGCAATATCATAATGTGCTAGTATGGATTGCATACATCATACAGCTCACCCATCTAACTGGCTGAGCTGCAATGACATCACTGCCGCGCATGCATGCAAAAGCCCCAGGCACGCATGCAAAGCTCTGAAGGAACAGCACAGCACATGCGCTGGTGACATCACTGGCTGCACCTCAATGCAATATTACGCTAAAGGTGCTCCATCCATTCATCCATCCATCCAATCCATCATCCATCCATCTATCCCATCCTCCATTCTGTCTGTCCCCAGGCACATCCCCCTTTGCATTCCTCTTGCAAAAATATAAGTATATATTTCACTGGACATTTCCCTCAGCCAAACATCATATACTGAACTCTTGAATCACATACCCTCATCCTGTTACTTTATTTTAGGAACAAACCTTTGATAGCTTCCAAGTGAAAAAATAACAATTCCCAAATCAGCGGGGCTCCCCAGCTTCATTGGCAAGTGTTGGAGCACCCCACACACAGCCAAGACAAATCTTCTCTGAATCAGTCTACCATATCACTGAGATCTTCTTCCAAAATATCTCCTTCCAGCCCCATGCTGAACTAGTGTTTCCCAAAACACAGCTACATCACACACATACAGCTTTTCAAAGCCTGACCAATGTGTTCTATGCTATTCCTAGGTATGTAAAGACATAGTAGCAATCCCAGTACATAGCCACCAACTAGATCAATAATGATTTGTGAAGGGTGCTAACCTTATGTGATTTGCTGTAAAAGAAAGTCTTGTACTGTTTTAGCAATCAATCAAGGCAAATAAATTGGAGTTTAAATGATATCCTTTAGTGGTTAACATAAGTTATTAACTGAATATTTTACACTGTAGGTAAACCTACATTTATTATGCTTAGTATTATGCCTTTCTTAAAGTGTTACTAAACCCTGGACCCTGCATTCCCTATATCTACTCTCCCCAGACTCTGCATTCACTATATCTGGTCTCCTCGGACCCTGCATTCACTATATCTGCTCTCCCCAGACCCTGCATTCACTATATCTGCTGGTCTCCCCCAGACCCTACATTCACTATATCTGCTCTCTCCGGACCCTGCATTCACTATATCTGGTCTCCCCAGACCCTGCATTCACTATATCTGGTCTCCCCAGACCCTGCATTCACTATATCTGCTCTCCCCAGACCCTGCATTCACTATATCTGCTCATTCTCCTCTCTCCGACCCTGCATTCACTATATCTACTCTCCCCAGACCCTGCATTCACTATATCTGCTCTCCACGGACCAGGGGCGGACTGACCATTTGGAAACTAGGTCACTGCCCGATGGCCTGGGGTCAGTAGGGGGCCCCATGAGATGCCCCTGGTACCTTTTTTCATAGGCTTTTTTGAGTTTGGGCAAGGACACAGGGGCCCCATGATCCCCTATTGCCCAGGGCCCCTTGAGTTGTCAGTCCGCCCCTGCCCTGGACCCTGCATTCACTATATCTGCTCCCCCCGGACCCTTCATTCACTATATCTGTTCTCTCCCGGACCTTGCATTCACTATATCTGGTCTCCCACAGTACACACAACATGGAAATGCAATTATTTTAGTAAATATAAACTTCTAAATATCCTTTCTCATCACCAGTTACAGTAGTCTTGTGACTTATATCAATGTTCAGCAGAGCATTGGTAAAACTAGTAGGAGGAGTTTTCTCTAGGAGGATGTAGAACCCCTGACCTCCATCTGGGCAGTGCTGATTGGCCATGTGCTGATCACATGCATTCTCCCAAGAAAAAAAAAACCCTCTCTAGCAGTACACTCCAAACTGAGCATGTGCAGAGTGACTCCACACAATATGTCTTATCAGGAGATAAAAGGGGGACACTGGAAGAAGGGGAGGATCAGAGAAGTCAGGATCAGACAGCATTTTTACAGAATGCAGAGGAATAACCCTTATGTTCCACAGTGTACTTAACAAGCATGCTTTACTGCATATACAGACTGATTTGGCTGTTGTGGGTTTAGTAACACTTTAAGGGAACTAAAGGAATGCACACAGCAGGCTGACAATGTTCTGCTAATTGCAAGGCATTGGCATAATGGGTTCACCCTACAACTGGCAAAATATATTCAATCACTATCTAAATCTTGCCACACTCACCTCTGAACATTTCCAGACTAGGCCCCTTAATAACCACTTGACCTCCAGAAGGTTTTTTTCCGCCTCAGGGCCAGAACGTGTTTTGCTAATTTAACTGGCAATTGCTCGGTCATTCAATACTGTACACAAATGAAATTAAATGAAAAAAAAAGACTGGATAGTTAAAAAAAAAAAAACACTTTTTTTTCCTGATCAAGAGGGCAATCAGGGGGTTAACTGTGTGCCTAACAAGTGTATGCGTGCTGATTTTACTCACAGATGTGGCTGCTTCTTCTCCCTGATCTCAGCTCTGAATGGCAAGTGAGATCAGGGAGAAGAAACAGCCAGATCTTTGTGCTGTGCTTAAAAACATACAGATCGCTGTGCTGTGGTTGGCTACAACAATCAGCAGGTTCACAGTTAAAACCATTGGCTGAGCCTGCTGACAAACTTGTGCTGTGTCCAACCATGGCACGAGCAGCAGGGGGTGCACAGGCCTGTAAACCCAGAAGTCCCCCCATGACGCACCAAACAACAAAGCAGCTGGTCAGCAGTAAATGTGAAACTGCCAGTTTGCAAGTGGTTAACCAATAACACCACCAAGCTACTACTTCACTCCCATGTCATCGCTATCTATTCCCTCTTCAGTCCATCATGAATGCTGCTGCTAGATTCATCCACCTTACCAACCATCTCAGTGTCTGCCACCCTGCTTTGCCAATCCCACCACTGGATTTTGATTGCCCAACAAATAAAATTGTAATACTAACAACAATATACAATCTGCTCCAAGCTACATCATCAATCTCATCTCAAAATATCCTCTTTGCTCCTCCCAAAAAACATCCTTCTCTCTAGCTCCCTTCTCCCATGCTCACCACCAGGACCTCTCCAGAGTCTCTCTCTTCCTCTGGAACTCTCTACCCCAACTTGTCCAGCTACCTCTTCTTTTCAGTTTGCTGAAAACTCATCTCTTCAAGGAAGCCTATTTCACCTCCTACTGAAACCTGAAAGTCTTTCTTCATGGACTTGTTCCCTCACAGTATTACCTTTTGCACCACTTGCACCTCCCTTTTAGAAAGCAAGCTCTGGAGCAGGGCCCTCCTAACCCTCTTGTCTTGAATTGTATTGTAACTGAACTGTCTCGCTTTGTATTGTAAAGTGCTGCGCAAACTGTTGGGGCTACATAAATCCTGAATAACAATCACAATAAAAGTAATATCCAGGAAACTGCAACAGATTCACAAAATAAATAAATACATAAATAAATATTTACTCAGTAAAACTGTATACAGTGAGGCATGATATTACACATACTGAAAAATTACATATGTTGAGTTGAGAATCTTAACTAAAAAAGGCGTGATTATTCACTTCAACTATCCAATCAGATGAAAAGCAAATTTCTGTTCACTTTGAATATCCAATCATGTGCAGAGGCTAATTGCATTATTGGATAACTGAATATTCCCATATTTTTTGAATGAAGATTCTATCTCTCTCTTTCGCTCTATCTTTTCTCTATCTCTTTTTCTTTCTGTCTCTGCCTATATATCCTCTCTATATGCATACATAACAATATATAATTCAGGAGCAATTCAGTAAATCTGGAAGCAGCCAGAAAATGGGCAGAAAATGGGCAGCATGCAGTTTCAATGAGGACACCAAATTGTTGGGAGCCAGCTATGCATTGTGCATTGGCTAGTAGCTATATAAGTGGACATTTGTAACATTGCACATACTCTATAAATATGAAGTTATCTTTGTATTTTGTCTGCTGGGCGCTAAATCCTGGCCAGGCACACCAGTGATCTAACAATTGGGGTAGACCCCCAGACCCCCCCAGGGAAACTGTAAGGACTGGTTTTATATGGACCATCACTGCACGCCTCATTACAGGCGACACTAATCTGTGTGCACTGAGCTGGGCCTGACCATTGTGGCTGAAGGGAAGAAAATCTATACAATCTCATAAAGGCTACTGTATGGATAGGGAAAACACAGAGTACTGGGGGGGGGGGGGGGGGGGGAGTTAGGGCACTATCTGTATGGATTACCATTAAACACTTTCTGGGAGATAATCTCAAGTAAAGAGCTTGTTAAGCAGTTGTAGTGTCAAAGGTCAGGAAACATTAACAGCACCCGGTAGGGCACGCTGGCATTTGTAGTTCCCTGGTCAATGGAGAGTTCAATGCTAACTCATAATTATAGAATAAAAAAAAAATAAATAAATATATATATATATATATATATATATATATATATGTATCAGTTTTAGATAGTACAATGCAATTGACTTTACCAATATAATTTACCAACATACATCAATTTATTGAGCATAGCAAGCTTTTTTGCGTATTTCTTCATAGCTGGGTTTCAGGGAAATACACAATATTGAATATTGTTATTGTCCATTGCACCGCTGCATTTCCTAGTCTTGCTGTAGATATATTCTTTGGAGGATTCTAGGATATTTCTGTGTAACATTGGTCTGGTTATTATATTTTCATACTCATAAAAATATATTATATTAATATTATATATAAGAGATTACTAAATAAAATCAATAATTATTTATCATTCCTATATAGCACTGTCCATTTACCCAGCACTTTTACATATATATATATGTATATATATTGTACATTCAGATCAGTCCCTAACCCACAAAGAGTGTACAATCTAAGGTCCCTAACTCACATTCATACATACGTTAGTAGGGCTAATTTAGACAGGATCCAGTTAACTTCCCAGCATGTCTTTGTAGATGAATATATTATTGAAAATAAATAAAAATAAATAAATAAAAAGAACACATGGTTATCTATAGCCGTTTCTTATGCCTTCTTATGTTTCTTTTATATATATATATATATATATATATATATATATATATATAATTTATATTAAAAATTTTTTTATTTTTTTTTATTACTGAGTACACTATTGTGTATGCACAATTTCTGGCGTCAGTATACCACTTCTGAAGCAGTGACACTACAGATGGTACACACACAATATAGTACTCGCATGCAAAAAGAGTGTATAGTAACGCATAGCCATGTACAAATGCATTCAATACAAAGCAATTTTGGTTTCAGCAATACACATCAACATTGATTCGCAAAGGATAAAAAAGGAAAAAAGATATGCTTTACAAACCTATGAGCATAAAGAGAGTAATCACAAAAAAAAGTCTATTGAGTTCAATAGATCATGATTTAAAGTTCAACTAATATATAAAACATTCTTGCAAAAAATACGAAGAGGTATTAAGGTGTTAACACAGGCACAATAAAGAATGATAAAGCACAAAAAACATAACTAGTATGTGTATGTATGAATGTGAATTAGGGACCTTAGATTGTACACCCCTTGAGGGTTAGGGACTAATGTGAATGTACAATATATATATGTGTAAAGCACTGCTATATCTGAAATAAATAAATAAATAAATAACAACATCCACATTACAACGCATACAAAGGATATCTATGATATACAGAAATATACAGAAAGTGCAATGCTTATTGTTAAGAAAAAGAAAAAAAAAAAAAAAACAAAAAAAAAAAAGCAGCAAACAAAAAAAACCCTCAGATTCTAATAAATGAATAGAAACTGTATAGATTTTGCCCAGGATTGGTAAAGTCTCTTTGTGGTGGTGTGGATGGCAACATGAATAGATTAGCCCTCATTGACAAGACAAATATCAGAGCTGCTGTCTGGGGGCTGCAGGGTGATACAATGTTGCAGTTTGTACATCAGGTTAAGAGCTACTCTGCATTTATTAACATCTGCTCAAAGATCTCATCCAGCCATCAATATCACAAGTCTCAATAATCACAGCAGCACTACACACATACAAATGTGAAGATCAGATCAGAGGCAGAAAGTCCTATTCAGCTTCATCCCAAAGCCCTGATAGACTCACACACTGGCCCCAGAGCCCCATTTTGGCTGCTAATCTCACCTCATTGCTTTCATGTTCTGTCCTTCTATATATCAATGCAGCTACCACATTTCTTGCTTGGTTGTTATTGAGCAATTATACATGATCAGATCCACAGTTATATTCTGGATTCTTCCGAAGCGTTCATTGAACATTGAATATCTGAATTCACTATTTATGAAAGTTGTAGGTTAAAGCCAGTACAGTGCCGGTATACTGCAGTACATGACTGCCATCCATGTACAGTATCTTCAGGGTCCAGCTCACAATCTCTGGGGGTTCTTCTGCTTCTTGCATTATTCCCAGAATTACACTTTCAAGTTTCGGCACAGAACCGATTTCATCAAAACACACTTTAGTGGAGGATGTATGTTTTCATTTGGGAATAAATGGGGCTTTTTAAAATTAGAATATGGATTTGTATTTACAGGACAATGACAAATGTATATTCTTAGAGAAAAGAACATTTACCAGAGTGTAACGGACTCAGATGTTCTGGTATAAAAGGGTCTGCTTCATGTAATGAATCATTGGGCAATCATTGTACTATAATGTACATGTGTGCTTGGAGTTGTGTTCTACTTTTACTGAGTTCAATAGAACCGTTTTCTGCAGCTCTGTATACAATGGGGACATACAGGACCATCACATTTCTATAATCAATACAAATAGCTTAATGAGATCTCTGTCTATCTATCTATCTATCTATCTATCTATCTATCTATCTATCTATCTATCTATCTATCTATCTATTTCTCTCTATCTCTCTTTATCTATCTATATAGCTGGTGTGTATGTATATATGTACATATTTGGACACACATACACACACAGGGGGAGATTTACTAAAACTGGTACGCTCAAAATCTAGTTTAGCTGCATGGTGGCCAATCAACTTCTAACTTCAACTTGTTTCATTAAACTTTTTGACAAAAAAACCTGGAAGATGATTGGCTTCTGCGCAGAACTGCACCAGATTTTGCACTCACCATTTTTAGTAAATCAGCCCCACATTAGATTTACTATACACATGCATTATCTATCTATCTATCTATCTATCTATCTATCTATCTATCTATCTATCTATCTATCTATCTATCTATCTATGTGGTGTGTATGTATGTATCTAAATCACACATGCTCACACATTATACACAAAACACATCTGCATTATCTATTTTTTTTTTTCTTTCTATCTATCTATCTATCTATCTATCTATCTATCTATCTATCTATCTATCTATCTATCTATCTATCTATCAATCTATCCATTTATCTATCTATATTGGTGGTGTGTACGTATGTGTAGAAATATTTGGACACACATAAACACTACGCACAAACAGATTAGAAATCTGCAACTTTTCTTTTCTTTTCTTTCTTTCTTTTTTCTTTCTTTCTTTCTTTCTTTCTTTTTTTTCTTTCTTTCTTTCTTTCTTTCTCTCTCGCTCTCTCTCTCTCTCTTTCTTTCTCCCTTTCTCTTTCTCTCTCTTTCTTTCTTTCTTTCTTTCTTTCTTTCTTTCTTTCTTCACACACACACACATCATATCTATATCACCATATACATTGCTTGATTATGATAACAACTCTTTGCTCATGCATCCAACTTCTTTAGTGACTGATTACATTAAAAACAGTACTATACAGTAATATCTATCTAATCTTTGGATACATATAGACACACACAATTATATTATAAAATAATTATGCATTCTTATATGTTTAGGACACACACACACACACACACACACACACACACACACACATACATCATCACACACCACACACACACACATACACATTTGTTTGATTGGCAGAACACACTTTTTCTTTACTCATGCATCCAGCCTCTTTGGGGACTGATTACAATATAAGATAAACACAGTACAACAGTACTATAAAGTGTAACAATTAAAAAAATGAGACTTACCAAGCTGTGCCAAACGATTAAATTGATCCCAGAGATCGTTCCTTTAAACCATTTTACACAATCGGAGCAGGAATCTTTAACGAAACGCTTAACACCTCCTGTCTATTACTCATCCTACAGTTATTAAAAAAAATCTTGGAAGGTCAGTTTTAAGAGCATAGAATTAACAGTCACCCCATCCAAAATAAACTGGCTTCTGTCCAACTTGCAAATGGGAAGGGGGGGGGGGGAATTTAATAAAACGATGCTCCTTTATGAACGCGTGTTAACCCTTTTGTGGTTGGCACCCATGTGAATGTAGAGGCATTGAAATTATGAACTACTTTGCTTTTTTTCTTTAGTTGAGAAAAAAAGACATGCAGCCTGGAAAATGATTTTGGGTAAGAAGTGTTTCCCAGTGTGAGTGTATTAATAAGCTTGCACTAATACAGATCAGGCTGGAGCTAGGAATCCAGGCTGGAGGGCGGTGACGTCAGGGCCACGTGACAGGGCCGCTGGTACAAATAGTGAGTGAACAGAGGGGAGGGCTGCAGTGTCAGGCTGAGTGTGGCTCAAGAAGCTTGTGCAGTTTGGATTCCTGAAGAACTGTAAGGAGGAGGAGGAGGAAGAGGTGGAGGAGGGGGAGCTCACACTGGAAAGGGGACAAGAGGAGGAGGAGATGAGGGGTGTCAGGAACTGACCTTGTGTACACTGGCCCCCCTAAAACATCCAAAGGTTTTTGCTGTCACTGATCTTCTTGTTGGGGGAAGAGAGGAGCCCACCAGGGGGGTCCTGGAGTTTGGCTTGGGAGTAGACCAGGACTTCCTGCTCTCATCACTACAATGACTTTGGGAAGTGAAATGTGTGATAACCCCTCCTCTCTGAAGACACCGACATCGATGTGGTCGGGGACATGAACGCCAAGGAGGGCAAATATACTCCGATTACCAATCAGACAACGACTCGGATGACCCTCTGTCCAGCAGGAGCCACCCAGGGGACCTGGCCTCCCCAGACCAGGACTCCAACCCACGAGGAGCGGAGAAGAACCCCAAGAACACGTTGGTGAAGCCCCCCTACTCCTACATCGCCCTGATCACCATGGCCATCCTGCAGAGCCCCAAGAAGAGACTGACCCTCAGCGAGATCTGCGAATTTATCAGCAACCGCTTCCCTTACTACAGGGAGAAGTTTCCAGCCTGGCAGAACTCCATCCGACACAACCTGTCCCTCAATGACTGCTTTGTGAAGATACCTCGAGAGCCTGGCAACCCGGGGAAGGGCAACTACTGGACCCTTGACCCCGAGTCGGCTGATATGTTTGACAATGGCAGCTTCTTGAGGAGGAGGAAGAGGTTCAAGAGGCAGCAAAGTTCTGAGATCTTGAGGGACCCCAGCAGCTTCATCCCAGCCTTTGGATATGGACCCTATGGCTACAACTATGGGCTCCAGCTGCAGAACTACCACCAGCACCACCATCACCACCACCACCACCCAGGTACCACCTTCCCCTTCCAGCCCACTCCCTGCCCTCTACCCACCGTCACCTCGGTCTTCTCCAGCCCTTCCTTGCCTGGATTCAGCAGCGACTTGGGCAGGAAGTCCTTCTATTCCCAGCTCAGCCCCACCTTGCCCATTCTTCAGACTCTGAAAGCGGACTCCCAAAGTCGGCCGTCCTTCTCCATAGACAATATCATCGGCCCGACCACTCCACAATCCACCCCGACGTCGCCTTACACGACTCAACCTGGGAGCCAAGCCCAGGTCATAGCCATGTTAACCCCTTCCCTGGGCCCCCTACAGAACCATTTAAACTTGGCACATGAGAACGTCCTACAGACTCCTCAGGACTTTCCTGGGAAAATCACAAATCTTAACAGCTGTCATTTTTAGACCAAAAAAAAAACCAAACAAACAAAAAGATAATTTTCACTTTCAGCCTATGTATTTAAGGTAGGAATTTATTTTAGATGATTTTTTTTTTTAACTCTCAGTCACCTCCAGGCCTACTCTTCAAAGATCTATTTATAAATTGTATATATGTTTTGTGCTAGGTGTATGTCACTGTTATAGATTCAGTTTATATCCTAAAAAAAAATGATATATCCCTTGGGGTCAGCTTTACAATGACATTGCTTAACTGTTGAGTTGCAAACTTGCCTCCGGTTTTGCTTATAGCTGAAAACCAATCGCAGCGATTATCGATCCTTAAAAACAAATTGTGAGCCATCGGCCGACTAGCTGTTATCGACTGAAGAATAGAAGCACTGATCTCAGGATTGATTGTCCAACCCTTCTAGCACATAAGCCTTCAAAACTGCGCTTACAATTGTGACTTCAAGATAAACCAATGGAGTTCATGATTAATAATCGGTTAGATCGAAGATTTCTTCCCCCCCCCCTTCCTTACTGGTACGTTTTGTGTATATGTAATTATGTATATAAATCTATAGATCGGTTTCTAAAGGGGCAGCTAATCCCCCCTCACATTGCCTGTGCATCTTCTGTGTTTGAAATGTTATGGTTTGTGAATAATCAAATGACTTCTTATGTGAGGGAAGGCAAATGTGCGAAAATTCGGTGAAAATTTTGAAATAAATGTTTGTGAATTCACAACGATGTCTACTTATATTTTTTTTGTACTTGGGGGGAAGGGGGTGGGGGGTGAACCGATTCCTAAAGTCAAAGTTTAAATTTTTTTTATTTTTTATATGACTGTATTATGGGCACTAATTCGGTAGCTTTTACTTGTATCTTTCTTTTATTTATTTTTCTTTTATCTCTCTTGTGTTTTTTTTAATGGTTTTTTTTCCTTTTGTATTATTACATTTTTTACATATATATTTTTTTTACTTTTAAACTTGTTCCAATTTACCTTGGCCTTCTGCGCCCATGCGGGGGTCTTATATTTTGGAAACAGGAAACTTTGATTAATTAGCTGAATTCCTCCTCCAAACACAGACGGGGTTTCTCACTGAAAATGGATAGGCCATAAATTAAAAGCGATTAGGGGTGAAATCTCTTAATTACCAGCTAATTTAGAGATGATATTCACTGATAGGTAAGTGAGAGGAATTGGTTCATTAGCTGAGAAAATAGCTGAAAACCTTTTCTACAATATTAAAGAGATGTCTTTTCAGAACTGACCACACAAGTTAACCCCCCCCCTTTAAAAAAAAATGTTTGTAGTGCGTAGCTGTAGGTCTGTGTGAGTGTACCTGTATGATATAATTGTGGTGTAAATGCTCAAGCATAATGTCATATGTATGAATAGGAATATATAATAAATGAATATATGATTACATATTAAAAAGAGAAATATAATATATAAATCCTGTTTTATATATATATATATATACATATATATATATATATATATATATATATATATATATAATTTATGAAATGTTGTATATATATATAAATATATATATATATATTTAAATGAGTGTGTTTGCACGTGTAGCCGTATATATATATATATATATATATATATATATATATATATATGTGTGTGTGTGTGTGTTTGTATGTTAGAAATGCCTTATATAATTATGTTGACTGTCTTGCTTTTGTTGCTGGCATTCATTTTTTCAAGCAATAGACAATAGTGTCCTGGGCAACAATTTAATACAAGTGCAGTAATAAAGCCAGGAACATTAATTACTTAAAAAGCTTGCATAATTGTGTTTTATATAAAATACAGATTTTTTTGTACATGAAATTGTAAACCCAGTGCAATTGAAATAAGCAAGTCGATGTGCTATCTATCTATCTATCTATCTATCTATCTATCTATCTATCTATCTATCTATCTATCGTCTCTTAACTAGATTGATAGATATATATATATTTTTATAACTGCATTAATCCAAATGATCTTTTGGCCAAGGGTGTCCCAGGTTTTCAGTGTCTCTCTTTCTTTCAAATGGGTCAAATCTGCACAGCCACAAACACGTTTTGTTCTCTTGAAAAGCCCCCCCCCCCCTCCTTCTATCCCCAAACACTTGCTTGTCCAACTTTCTACAAAGAGCTTCAAGCCTAGAAATGGGCTAATACGACGTAGGCCAATGGCTCCATTTTCCAGGACATTTTCTGGATCTGAGCTCTCTGCATGTGCCTGAGCTGTGTACTCCATGGCTGGATGGGGGCTTTTCATTAGCAGGGGGGTCTATTGATCCGCTGCTTTGAAGGGCTGGCCTTTGTCCAATGCTCGACTGCTCCGTCCGAATGGGAAAGAGTTAAAATCTTGGGGTTTTGCCTTTTAAGAAAACATTAAAAGTGTTTCAACGTTACCTTGTGAACTTAACTCTTTCAGAACCAGGGATTTCAATGTACTTTTACTTTTTTTTCCTTTAGTTAAGTAAAATTATTTTATAGGCCTAGTTGTAGTCCTTTTTGTGTTTCTTCTTTTAAATTAAATTGATCGTTTTCAATGGCTGTAAATATGGAGTTTGGCTGCGTAAATGGAATTATGGAAGGATTGATAGAGAGTCAACAGAACTTCTCCAACTTCAAGAGTGTTTGTATATATATATATATATATATATATATATATATATATATATATATGTATACGGTGTCTATCTATCTATCTATCTATCTATCTATCTATCTATCTATCCCCTATATATGTATGTATGCATCTGTCTGTCTATATATGTATCTATGTATGTATCTAAATCTGTGATGTATATCTTTCTGTCTATCCATTTACATGTATGTATGTAGGTATGTATATGTATGTATGTATGTATCTATATATGTAGTGTATATGTATATATTTATGTATCTATCTAATATGTGATGTGATATACATATGCTGATGTTTTTCTCTCTTGTATATGTATGTATGAATGTATCAATGTGGTGTCCATCTAGGTAGATATACTGTATAGATCTATCTATCTATCTATCTATCTATCTATCTAAAATTAATAGCATCCAAATTCAATATATATTTCTAAACTTTTGACTTTTTTTCTACATGGTAGGCCATATCTATCTATCTATCTATCTATCTATCTATCTATCTATCTATCTATCTATCTACATGTATGCATATATGTAGTTTATGTGTATGTATCTAAATTAAGAGCATCCAGATGAGATTGGTTATACAGCTAAACTTTGACATTTTTTGTTATTGGGTATCAGTGGACGGTATACATGGCAGACCATATCTATCTATCTATCTATCTATCTATCTATCTATCTATCTATCTATCTATCTATCTATCTATCATCTATCTAATCTTTTAGCATCCAGATTGGTTATAAAGCCAAACTTTTACTTTTTTTTACTTTTTGGGCATCGATAGATGGTATACAAGGTAGTATCTATCTATCTATCTATCTATCTATCTATCTATCTATCTATCTATCTATCTATCTATCGTCTACCTACATATGTTTATGAGTATGTATACATAGATAGATAGCTGATGAATTGTATCTGGTGTATAACTGTAGGGCACCTGCCTTTTAAAATTTAAATCCTTTTTGTTTTATTCCCTCTGCCCCCCATATTATTCTATCATTTTTATTTAAATATTAATATATTAATATTGCCTTTATTCTAAGTATTACAGTAAATACAAGGCCCTTGTATTATGGGGATTTTATACATAAACTGATACATATACTGAAAGCTGTGAAGTCATGCTATTTCTCTACGATCAGCTCATTGTACACACCTCGTTTTTCATTTTATTGTCAGATTTTTCTAGACAGGAAAGTGCATGCTAGAGGAAATGAGAATTGCCTGTTGCCCTGGGTGAAGGATGGGGAGTTTGGTTGCTGGGGGTAACAGCCCAGATGTCCTATGGACCAGTTTTGGTCATTGAGATGCAGCATCACCACACCAGCCCCTGCCTCCCAGTAATTGCCCCAGCCTGAGGGGGGGGGGGGGGTGTAGAACAATTTACAGACGCATTTTAGGACATTAACCTTCTCCCCTATCGATACAAGTCTGCTTACATTCTCCATCTAGCAACCATTTAAAGCAAGCTTTAAAAATTGCTGAAGGTTATATTTTTGTCTATAATAACCCTTATTTATTTCTACACGTGTGTATGGCGAACTGCTTCCTTTATGACCACCCAATATACAGGGTGAAAAGGAAGAGAGTACGAATAATAATATACTATAACTACAAACTACTAGACCCTCAGATACTTTTATTGCGAGGGATTTTAAAGCCATTTCATACAAGGCTGTACAACTGTATTTCCAGCAAAAAAAAAAAAAATAGAGGTCTTTTGGGGGTCTGTGAGGTTTGCAAAGATTTCGAGTTTTTTTCTTTGCTCTACAGACTGTAATAAAAAATGCATAGAAGAGGTGGTGATTTTTTTTTACTTCAAAATTTTTAAATTAGTTTTAATGTTTTCTTTTTTTTTTTTTGCTGGATTTTATTCCTTTAGTTACAAAGACAAGGTCTTTAAAATAAATCATGCAACAAAAAGGTGTTCAGACTAGTGTGTGAGACTACAATATACTACAATCTTATATAGATGTGTTGTACACATGTGCGTTTAGGAGAGTTTAGCATTTTTTCTGCCAGAAGACAATCAAAAACCCATCCTGCCTTCAAAATGTTTAGCTTAAAATATGCCTTGAATAGTCCTAATGTATATGGACACATAGGAAATCACTGAGCTGCTTCTACAGGCAAAACACGAAACTCCTTTAGAAGCAACGATTTTTAAGCCAGTATGTGTGGAGCCAGAGTGTGTGTGCATTAATGTTTGTTTGTGTGAGTGTATGTTTATTTTGATATATATGTTGGTTTATCAAAATAAACATACTATATATATATGTATATATATATATATATATATATATATATATATATATATACACACACACATTTTGTAAAGCGCTGCGCAAACTGT